ACATGAGAAGTTTAATATATATATAGATACATATATATACATGTATGTATGTACATACAAATACATGTATGTATGTATCTACATATAGATACATATACATATATCTATATACACATATACATATACATATATCTATATATACATACATATATCTATATACACATATATATATATATATACATACATATATTGCATTGAGATTCGTGCTGGTTGATGGAAATTTATTGGTGACCTATCAGTTGCCCCCTATTTTCGGGTGATTCTAATTTCTTCGTCTGAAAATATTAAAATATTTCATAGTAGACGTAAAAAACTTATAGTAAGCTGAACTAGGCCAGTTGGTGAGTGTTTTTTGTCATTTGCGAGATGGTGAGAGATCAAATCCCACCAATGACATAAAATTCAAATTTCATTGGTGGGATTTGATCCCTCACCATCTGACAAATGGTAAAAAACACTTACCAACTGAGCTAACTCAGCTTACATCGCCCGAAAATAGGGGGGCAACTAATACGCCACCAACAAATTTACATCAACTAGCACGAATCTCAATGTAATTTTTATAACAAGAAACATTCAAACTTTGATTAAGAGTCATCCGGAGCTTCGATTTCAGCAAAATTATAGTCAAACTGATCGGCTTGAAGAGACGAACCTAATGATATAAAAGTTAATCCAATCCGGGTCAAATCAGACTCTGATCAAGTCATTAAACCACTATTATAGGATTTCCAGAGGCATTTTAAAAGGTCAACCAGATGTCAAATTATGTGAGTTTATAGTCGAATCGAGCTCTCAAAAATACGAATCCAATGAGCCCAAGATTGCTCAACTTCGACATCGTTAAGGCACTCAAATGTCCATCAAACGTCATCTGATCAACAGAAGCTCTCCGGGCCGTCCGATCAAAATGGTTCATATTCCTGTATTAATTGCACTCAAAACACTATAACTAGATCCTCACCCCTCATATGAAAAGATGAGAGACTTAAGAGGGAACTTGAGGCTTTGAGAAGGAGCTCAAGTCCAAGTTCATAATCGTCATCGTCGATCGACCACCACTGACTGTCGACAACAACCACCGACTTCTGTCGACCACCGCCGGCCACCGATGAACTCCGCCGATCACCGCTGACCTCTGTCAACTACCGCTGACCGTCATCGACTGTTGTCAACCACCGCTCACCTCCGTCAACTATCGCTTACTAGACGTCATCAATCGACATTGTAACGTGAAAAACTAGTAACCCTTTCCCGCCTGTGGGACAAGGGGCATCTATAATCATCAACTTATAGTGAATTTTTACAACTAGGCCAGACCCCGTGGTTTTTTCCTTTTTTTACGAGTTTTCTACCTAAAAACTTATAGTGTTATTACAGCTTGATTCATTTTCATCTGAATGTGTGCTGAATTTTCATGCAACGCTAAGACGATAATCCATTACTCTACCGCCTCGAATTTTCTAACACGCATCAAGAATACAAAACTAAACTGTTTTCTGTATTTATGATATATATATATATATATAAAACAAGTTGAAATGTTTGTAATATTGTTTAATTTATCAATTACGATGAAATATAAGATTTTATTTTAAATTATGTGTTTTTTTAATCATAAATATTCGATAAGTAAATACATGAGAATTGAGTGAGTAAATATGCGAATGCCCCTGAAAATTAGACTTTACGATTTATTGATTTCTTGTCTGGAGCTTTCGAGGTGCATCCTTTGAAAAACAAAAAAAAACAAAAACAAAAACAAAAACTTGGAAAAAAGAGACGTCTAAGGTGCATGGATGACTACAATGTAGAAATTGAGAGTGCTAAAAGAGTTGGAGTGATTCTATAGGAAGATATGGTAGTTGGGCTATCTTTGTTAAACATATAATTTTTCTTTTAAAAGAGAATAATTTTATTTGGGTCTTTGACTATGAATATTGACTCGTTAGGCAAGAATTTAGAACACCTGAGGTCTATTTGAAATAGTGTGAGATGTTTAAAGAAGTAATTATAAAACTGTTGTAAAAGAAAATGATGTTAAGACAATTATTATGGTTATTATAAATTTATAATTCCTCTCAAAAAGTTAGACTGTAACTTTTTGGCAGTTACTCCATTTTTTATTACAAAATGTAACTTTCCACCATAGTTTTTTGAATAAACATGCAAAACACAAATTTGTTTGATGTGTGCCAGAAGATTCGCGGCGGTAGAGTGAATTATTATTATATTAGAGTTGCACGAGAATTCAACATACACTCAGATGAAATAAACAACCAGTAGAGACATGAGAAGTTTATGAGTAGAAAACCCGTAAATAGAAAAATCACAGGGTTTGATTTAGTTAAAGAGATTCACTATAAAATGATTATTACAAATACAACTATTTGTTCCAAAAGCTTGAGAGGATTACAAGGTCTCCAAAGTTATAATATTAACTTGCAGATGAACTTTTTGCAAGGAGTGGGCCTCAGACAATGATGATTGGAGGTGACCGACAAGTGATGGTCGGCAGTAGTCTGTAGTGGTTGACAGCGGCAAGAGTGATTCCAGTTTTTAGCTCCTCAAAGCTTCAAGCTCGTTTTCAGACCTCAAACTGTCTTTTTTACCTTTTTCATGAGAGGGGTGAGACTCGATTTTTAAAATTCTAAGTGCAATTAATGGATGAATATAAATTATTTTGATCAAAAGATCCATAAAGATTCACATGATTGGACTGTGTTTAATAGACATTTGAGTACCATGATGTCTCGATCTTCAAAAAATGATTGGAAAACTTCCAGAAGTTGTTTAATGGTGTAATCGGGGCTTCATTTAGCTCGAATTGGAAGAATTTTTGAATCATTGAGTCTGTCTCGTCGACCTGGTGAGTTTGAATATAAGTTTGTTGAAATAGAAGCTCTAAATGAGTCTCAATCAAAATTTAAATATTAGTTGTTTTAAAGATTGCATCGAGATTTGTGTCGCATGATGAAATATTGTTGATGACCTATTAATTCGCCATATTTTCATTTTGAAACAACATCTTCCAAAAATATTAAAATCGAAAGCTTTTTATTTTTTAGAAAATTCGGGCTCGCAGAATTGCAGTATTTTCAAGTGACGAATTTAGTCTCCCCCGAAAATAGGGGGACAATTGATGTGCCATCAAGAAATTCTCATCATTTAACAAATTTTCATCATCCGACACTAATCTCGAGGCATGACACGAATCTTGAGACGATTCTCGAGGCATGACACGAATCTTGAGATGATTTTTTGAGCAAAAAATGTTCAAATCTTGATTAAAAATCATCAAGAGCTTCGATTTCAGCGAACTTATAGTCAGACGGACCTAATATTATCAAAATTAGCCCAACTCGAGTCAAATAAAACTAAGATCAAGTCATTAAATCACTATTGAAAGTTTTCCGGACATATTTAGAAGATCAAAGAAATGTGGAATCTAGCAAACTTATAGTTTAATCGAGCGTCCCAAAAAGAAGAATACAATGAGCCCAATAACTGAGGGCTCAGCATTAGAGCTGTCAATTTGGCTCGTTGTTCGTGAACAACTCGTGTTTGGCTCGTTAAGCAGCTCGTGTTCGGCTCATTCGTTAAGCCTAACGAGCCGAACACGAACAAATTTTTAAGCTCGAAATGTAAACGAACCGAACACGAACAACAGTCTGTTCGGTCGTGTTCGGCTCGAAATGACTCGAAAAAAAAATTATATAACTTTTTATATAACAATATATTACATATATTATTTATATAATAATATATTATATATATTTATGTCTAAATTTAAATCATAACACCTCATGTGACAATGTGGTTAGTGTCTTCTTTTGTATAGATTT